TATATATATATATATATATATATATATATATATATTAAAAAAATTGAATTTATAAAATACTTTGGCTAGCGTCAAAGGGGTCAAACCAAATCAGGAAACGAATCTTATTTTAACGCTTCTGGTTCTGAAAATTCGGGGCGTTACACCACAAAATTTAAAAAGGATGATAAGGTGCGAAGCTAGCCGATCATAAAGCCTAGGCAGTGCCAAGGCACGTCTAGTCGTCGCTTTTTAGAATATTGGTTAAATTGTTTGATATTTTGAAACGCCTTAGCGCCACTTTTTAGAATATTGGTTAAAACGTTCGATATTCTAAAAATAACCATGCAACTAGGCCATCTTAACATGTCACTAACATTTTCCATCTAAAAGAAAAGTAAATATAAGGAAAAAAATGTCCTCATAACTCTTTCCTAATTTGTGACGGAAGAAAAAAAGGCTTGAAAATTAAATTTTAATTTTTTTATATTTTGATTAAAATTAATTAAATTTGTGATTAAAAAGTTGTGAATTTTATGAAATGTATGATTAATACATTGTTTGGTGGGGTTAAAAAATTAAACTTTTTGTCAAATTTTGAAAAAAAAAATTGATGAAATACATAGTTTAGAAGTTGTGGAATCATAAAACATGTGATTAATTAATTGCTGATTTTAATTTAATTAAAATCTGAAATGTAATTTGTTAAAATTAATTATTTACTTTGATTTAAATTTAAATTTGATATTTTAGCGTACCAAACATAACTTATGTTTGGTTTTGATTAAAATTATGTTTTAATTTAAATCAAAATCAAACAATAAATATTAACTATATTTTTTAATAGGTTCCACAACTTTTCAACCACATATATCAAAAATTTCTATCAAAATTTACTACAAAATCTAATTTTAATTTCCACTAAATATCCTTCTACACTAAAAAAGAAAATAAAAAAAAAAGAAGTAAAAGTTAAAACACGTGTCCACCTAGAATTGGTAACACTAGACATTTCTAGGCTACTCTAGAATATCTTATTGTGGAAAAAGTTTTTGAAGATGGGTACTTCTCCAAGAATGCTCGGGAACTCTCCATATTTTTCATGTAACTTACAGATTCAACCCTATGCTCTCCTATAAATTCTCCCACTTTCAATTTTCCACAGCACGAAGAATTTCAGCGAGCAATCTTCTTTTTAGTTTTCTAACAGTTTGACCACTCTATAATCTACATCTAACTTCTCCAAGCCTCGCTTATTTTTTATTTTATCCGAAAAATGTCGCTAATTCCAAGTGTATTTGGCCGACAAAGCAACATTTGGGATCCATTTTCTCTCGACCCCTTTCAAGACTGGCCGTTTAATTCTGCCCTCTCCACTCAGATTCGTTCCGACCTTTCCAACGAGACATCTCAGTTTGCTGCCACTCGGATTGACTGGAAAGAGACGCCGGAAGGCCACGTATTTAAGGCAGACCTTCCAGGGCTGAAGAAAGAGGAAGTAAAGGTGGAAGTTGAGGAAGGTAACATACTGCAGATTAGTGGAGAGAGGAGCAGGGAGAAAGAGGAGAAGAATGATACCTGGCACCGTATGGAGAGGAGTTCTGGCAGATTCTTCCGCCGGTTCAGGCTGCCGGAGAATGCCAAAATGGATCAGGTCACGGCCAGCATGGAGAATGGTGTGTTAACTGTAGTTGTCCCCAAAGTGGAAGTGAAGAAGCCTGATGTCAAAGCCATTGAGATTTCTGGTTAAAAGACTAAAAATACCCAGAAATTGTTTTGAAGTCATATATGTATTTTCGCTGTGTGCTTATTTAAATTGGGATGTTATGTTTTGAGTTGTCTGTGTGTTATTATTGAAATAGTTGAGTTTTGAAGTGTGCGTATCGATGTCGAGGGATTGTGTTACGCTGAATAAAACTTGTTTTTACTTGATTGTAAAATATATAATATAATCAAGTTTTTGGTTTTTTCTTTTACGGTCTAATACAAAAACTTTACGAGAAACTTGTTTTTATCTTTATTTAAAAATTAATTTTTAAAAGTGTTTTTTATTTGGGACCAATTTTATTTTAATTTTTTTTTTAAAAATTTAATTAGAAGAAGTATTTTTATGTTAGTTAGAATCAATTCTTAAATCTTGGACGTTCCTTCTGATTTTTCAACAATCATTTCTGATGTGCTCTTAGGAGATTCGGCAGATACAAGTGTTCATTTACGGCTTGTTTAAGCAACGTCATTTAGAAAAAATGTATTATTATACTGATGTCATTTTAATTACATATTATTTATTAAAATAATATTATATGTAAATTTAAATTTTTTTATATTTTATAATCACATATTTTTCATTTATACAATATTTAAAAATTCTTTTTTTTTTTTCCTCAAATTAGGTTCAAACAAGGGTTTAGTAGTTTTTGCTTGGTAGAGATTAAAATAAAAATTTTAGCAAATTTTAGCTTTTTTTATATTCATTTTTCTATAAATATATTTTTCTTTCTTATTTTTAATAATATATTTTTAAATAAAATAATATTACACTAAAAATTATAACTTTTTTTTTTAATTTCTTAAACACACTTTCATCAATTAATTATTTTAAAATGCGTTCTTACTAAAAAGGGGAAACAAATAAGGATATAATTTGATAAAATATGTGATTGAAAATTGTGATCCCACGAAATATGTGAATAAAATCAATTGTTAACTTTTACTTAAATCAAAATTAAAATTTTGATGATAGGGGTTAAGTTGATTTAGCTGAATATGCCCAAAAAAAATAAAATTAAAAAAGGTGTAGCAGACTCTATGTAGTGGAAAAATAAGATGTTTTTATTAAATGCATCATGATCACTATGTTTTCATGAAGTTAAGGCTTTAAGTCTCGTTTGATCTCCATTAAATTACATTACATTACATTTTATTTTTTTCTTCTATTTTTAACCACACAATCTTCCATAAAGTAATATTATACGCAAATAGAAAATTTTTCATTTCTTTTTAACTACTCAATCTTCAAAAAAATGTTATTCTTCCCATTTTTCATTACAATAAAATGGGGGTCAAATGGGGGCTAAATTTAATTTAAGCCCCTATTTGATGGAAATGAAAATGAAAACTTTAATTTAAGTCAAAATTAATAATTAATTTTAATCACATATTTATGGGATTTATAACTTTTCAATTATACATTTCATCAATTTTTATCAAAATTTACTACAAATTTGATTTTAGTTCTTGTTTAAGCCAAATTATTTCCATAAGAATGTATTTTTAAATAATGTATTGATGAGAAATATGTGGTTAAAAATAAGGAAAAAGTTTTGGATTTGCATATAATATTATTTATTGAAAAATGTGTGATTGAAATAGAGATGACAATTGGGCTTATCGGCTCGAGCCAAGTCATGGGACCCCCATTTTTAGGTACCGGGCAAAGCTCGAGTCGACCCGTATGACTCGCCGACTTGAAGCATATATTAAAAAAAAAATTAAAAAAATAAAAGGCAGCAACCTGCTACCAGAAATGGGGCAGCAAGTTGCTGTCAAACAAGGCAGCAACTTGCTGCCATTTTATTTAATAAATTAAAAAAAATTCAAAACCAAAAAAAACTCCAGCCGGCCCGGCTCGACTTGGCTCGGCTCAGAAAAATCTAAGCTAACCTAATTTTTTTACCGAGCTTTTGCTCGACTCGGGCCCAAAAAAAAGCTCGAATATTTTACCCAAGTCTAGAATTTCGGCTCGACTCGTTGACATCCCTAGGTTGAAATGATATCAAACCATTGTTTAAAAATATATTTTTTTAAAAGAATGTGGGTCAAATAGGACCTTAATTTCTACCAAGGGCTAAAATTTTGGTGTTTGGGGCTAAGTTAATTTAGCTGAATATGTATAAAAATAAGCATCATATCTATGAAAAGCAGATTATATGCAAAGAAAAACGATATGTTTTTTATTAAAGTTATAAATATCTTGATTGGTTAAAATGATGGCTATGGTTCAGGAAGTTCAGACTTTAAATGTATTGGCTTAGTAGTTTAACTTCTTAATTTGTTAATAGTAAATTTGTTAATAGTTAATTATTAAAAAATAGATGAATAGATGACGTGGATAATAGATATTTATACATTTAGTTCTAGTTATATCACTAAATGTTCAATTGTCAATCTAATTAAATGTTGTAGGAGTATTGATATATTTTCAATCCCCACAAGTTGAACCATCGATCGATCGGTTGCATTAGTAGCCTGATGATCCAAATGACCTATGCGAGTCCTTAATCGGGTCAAGTTTGTTAACTACTAAACGATAACTTACCATACACACGCACACATATATTTTTGTAGCGCTCTTTGTACTAAGATTTTTGATAAATAGATTTGACAGAAAATCTCAATCCTTAATTTAAGTAGAAGGGACTACTTTTATTTCTTTAAAACAAGTTAAAATTTTCAAATAGGTTCGTACAACACCAATTAGGTAAATATCCTCCCCAACTTAAATCTTGGATATCTGTTGCAACAGTTTCTCTTTGGTATGGTGTTACTTTTTCCTTTTGGCTACTATGTATTGAAAATACAATAAGACTACGTTTGATTATTAGTATTTTTAATGAAAAATATCATTTTTTTATCCAAGTTTTTACATTTTTGCTGTTTGATTGATTTTTTTTTATGGAAAATAATTTCCTACTTTTGTCACGTGATCATAATTTTCTGGAAAATAAGGAAAATATTTAATTTCCTGAAAAACAAGGAAATTATTTTCTTTAAGGGGTAGGTTTTTATTTTTCGACTCTCTCTTTCTCTCTCATTTACCCCTTCTCTCCCCTATCTATCTAACATTAAAAAGTGGACAAGTATAATATTTTTTAGGTTGAAAATAAAATGAATCAAACATATCTAATTGACAAATTTCCATTCAAATAATTTCTAGGCAATTGAATCATCTATAATTTATCTTATATCCATATAAATTTCATGCTCGCAATCAAATATACCTTAAGGTTTAATTCCTTTTTGAACATGGCTGACATTCTACAGTTACACTTTAAATGTAGGTAAATATAGTTCTCACTCGCTGAAATTAAGTGTACAGGTCTTGGTTTTGGCCCTTCAAATAATAGGTTCGTTTGGCGTGATAGTTGCTAAGGTTGTTGCAAGGTGAGGCATGTTCGCAAAAGGAAAAAATAAGCAAAAGATTGAAAAATGTATCTTTCAGTTCGTTTTGCAACCTGGGAAAAAGCAATCGAGGGATAGAAGAGACGCTAGTGTTGAGAAAAATAGGTGATTTGTGCAGTTTTAGAATCAAAACCTAATGTTTTTGGACTGTTCATGAGTTAATAATTGAGTATTGAGAGAAACTTTATTGAATAATGATCCTTTAAAGAAGATTTTGGAGTATGCAATTAAGCCTTCAAAGTGCTGTCAGAGAAGTAAAAAGAAATTTATTGTGCAGAGCTTTTGTTTTATGTACTCCAATATAATCTTTATATTGTGGGGAATTTAAAAATTCGATTGCATGTTGAGTTTTGGAAGAATAAAAGACGATACCAATTTCTTTTTTTTTTTTTTTTTTTTAAACCTTTTAAATATAGGGCTAGCACGACACCAGCATAGGTAAGGCACATTATCGAAATGCCCAAGGTTCATACCTGTCATTTTCCAAGTTTAAAAAATTCATAAGATAATGTTTTGAACTATAATGTAGATATTAATGAAGGAAGATGCATTCTATACAATTACATGCGGCCTGATCCTCCTACTTCCATTGCTTACTGCCACTGTATTCTTACCCTTTTCGAAACACAAAGAAAGGGAATTGATGATATATGCTCTTCATCAATTTCTGAAAACAGGACCAGCTGGTGAAGACATACTCGAGCGGTGCAGCTGTGCGAGATAGAGAGAGAGAGAGGGTTCTCTTCGTGTCTTGCAAATGAGAGAAGAGAAGACACCCCTTTCATACTTGCGTCCAATGGCTGGGAGCAGTCTCGGTTGATCAACAGCTGAGATGAACTCAGTTGATACAAATATTTTTTTTTCCAAAAGCCAAAGTCCAAACTGTAGAGAACAATATATAGTGGCACAATGATGATTGGGCTGGATTAATACTGATGGGCTTGTGGGCTGGATCACTTGTCACTTGAACTTGGCTAAATGGGCTGATCGGATTGTGATAAAAACGTGTTTTGTTTAAAACCCGTTTTTATTAATAAGAACAGACGCTCCTAATCTTGCCAAGTGTCACTCTCCTCACCGTGGATGACCGACCTTCCAGTTGCTTCTATTTGTACTGGTTTCTAGGGTTTGGACGGCTGATTAATTCATTTTACTTAGCCTCATCCCTTTTTCTCTCTGCAGCTCCCTGTTCTCTCTGGTTCACTGCTTTTTCGTTTCATTTTAAGCACTCAATCAAAAGTACTTTGTAGATCGATTTTGTTACAGCCTATTGTAGATCTTGAGTGATTTATATGGTTCAATCCTTGAGTGGATATTCGATGTACATTCTGTGGGTTTGTTGTATACGAAATCTTGGTGTGATTTCGTCTGAGTGCCATGAACTGTGAACTGTACCTTTTTTATTTCGGCTAATATAGTGGTTTCTTCCGGTGGTAGAAGCTCAAAAGGGGATTAGGGACTCCGGTTCCGAACCTCTTGCCTTAGGACGAAAATACTGTGTTCTTTCTTGTGTTTTCTGCGTTTTTCTTTCATTTCCTTTTTTGTAGTTTATTATTTTTGTTAATTGAAGTGGGCTAATTTTTTTGAACTTACCGTAACAGTGGTATCAGAGCTAGTTGACGGTGGTTCTTGGCGTCGGTGTTGGTAGATTCAAGGGTTCTTGCACTGGTTCTGATGAACTTGTTATTTTCGTGAAACCCTAACAAGGTTTCTTTGGTGAGTTCGTTCCATATCATTCGAGTTACATATATTCATTAGCCTGTACTGTGAGATCTTTGTAACCGAGCCTTA